AGACTTGAGTTTAAAGCCAACCTGTAACTTGCCATTCCCTCAACCCTGCTACAGTTCCAATTGCCATTCCCTCAACCCAGCTACAGTTCCAAAAATTCTTGACTATATCCTTGAAGCTGTTAATCCGAAGCCACTTGTTATCAATCTGAAATGGGATAAGACCCAGTGTATACCATCATCGGTTAAAGAGATAGGGAAGTGGTCAGAAACTGGTCTAGGAAGGACTTTTTGACACAAACTAGGTAACAAAAGAAGAAGAGAGGGATCAACAAGTGGTCAATCCTGGAGAAACTGGGAAGATTTCTTTGATTGCTCCAGATCCAAAAGCCACCCACCAACGGCATATCAGAAAGATTGAGGGCTTCCAAGTTGTCGCAGAATTCATCCGCAAGAGCACCATTGAAAAAATCACCGGAACATTCATTTCTATAGAGAACCATATTGAACTCACCGCCAACTACACCCACATACCCCCAACGAGATTGGCACTCAAACAATTCCTTCCAAAGAATGTCCCTTTCTTCTTTGCTGCCCCTATAATAAACCCCGACAAAGTACCATTTAGTACCATGCGAAACAGAGGTGAAAAGACAAGAGGTAGTGGTTTTGCCAATAAAATGATTTTTGGAAACCATAATTTCCTGTTTCCACATTAATAAAATGCCTCCAATGGTGCCCGAAGCCTGAAGGTGAACCCACCTAATGTCTTTGATGCCCCAAATGCTGTTGACCAACGAATCATTCATGTTCTCCATCTTAGTTTCTTGGAGACAAACAATATTTGACTTCCACCGATTTAGATACCCTTTTATCATAGTCATTTTTTTACTGTCATTTAATCCCCACACGTTCCATGAAATGATTTTACCTATCATTGACAATGTTTTGTTTGTCCGCCAAATCTAGCTTTTTCTTGCGTCTGCCATTGTAATTAATTGATGAGTAGAGATGCCTCAATTCTCGTAAGCCAACTTCCTTTTTTTTCTTTGCAGTTTTGAGACTTTCATCGTTCAACCTTGCTTCATTCAGTCTCTTTTCAAGTTCTGAGAACAGGAAAAATACATGTTGTTCCAAACCTTGCAGGGAGATCCCGAGTTCCGCACTAATTTGTTGAATGTTTCTGACAACCCACTTCAAGTATATTTGTTCCAAGACCCCATTTCGGGTGCTTAACGTTAATAGCTCTTGTGCTATTATCCAGACTTGTCTCAGATAAAATAGTAATTTCAAGGTCAGTGGAGGGGGGAGCCACACCTTCTGAAGGTGGTTTTTGTTCCTCCTCTAAGGACGCAATTTCGATTGGTAGCTCTTCTGGAACAGGGGCATTGTAATCCATCGAAACATTTTGAAGGGAGGGAGAGTTGGAGTCGTCTGGTTCTCTGGCACCCACTTTATCAATTTGATCACTGATCTTAGAGCAAACCGAACGAGCAACATCTTGTTCGTCTGTCTCTCTGTCTTTCATTTTGTCTTTCTTTATGTACTCTGATAGTTCATTCTCTTTAAGAGGATAAGAGCAGCTCGCATCATCATTCCTTTCATCTAAACTTGGTTTGGGAAGATTTTTTGGGGATAGCTTCTTTCTGGGCTTCTATTGCCATAAAACTTTAGGGTTTCTTTTTTTCCTGTTTTCTTTGTGCGGGCTAGAGTTTGTAGCTCATTTCTCTTTTTCTTCTTTAGTAAATTTGGGCTTCCAGGAGGGTGCAGAGCATGGGCCTTCACCACTGGGCTTTGAGGAATTATTTCCCGCCTTTGTGCCCTTTTGATTTTCAAATTTAATCAACTAAGTGTCAACCGAGTCGGGTACTGTCTTCTCCACCCGACCACAGTTGGGCTTCTCCACCTGAATGATTTTTTGTGAAGGATTTTTTTCCTGCTAGCCAGCGTTTCAATGTAGAAATCTTGTAAACAATAAGGACAACATATCACAGATGTACTCTTCGGTAAGAAGCCTAACTCAGGAGGATTTGAAGCAATCAAGTTCGATCCATGTTTTTTCGGATGAACCAACGGGATGTCGGTTAGCTCAAACACCACTTTCATAAGACGCCACCATCCTTCCGCCTGATACCCTTCTGGGATGAACACACGTTTGTAAAGTTTTCCTTTTCATTCCGATAGCACCAGTGTTCTACCATTCTGGTTTCTTGAAAGTACTAAGTATATTGTACGTGTGTTCTCTACAATCTTCTTGCCCCAAGTGGGCCCCCCCCTAAGCCAGTAGAAATCTTTTGAGGGAATCAATGGGCCAGTTTACCTCTTTTCTATTTATAGAAATCGTGATTCTAATGCCTTTGCCATTTTCGCACAGTTTGAGGCCATCTAGTTACTTGTCGTTCCGGTCAGCTCAATGGCCGACCAAACACGGGTGCATAACCCTAGCCTTGCGTATCTAGGAGAGAAACAGACAAAGGATGGAAGAGAAATTTAGGGTTGTCTATTATGGTTATCGGACCTATGCACGCAGGAGAGGAGAGAGGAGAGAGGAGAATGCTTACTTTCCTTGATCTCTAAGACTCAATTTTCCATTCTTAACTTTGCTTCTACCATTCCACCAACGCAGATGTATCTAGACTACTTGGTGTCTGATTGGATGACAAAGCTGAAACCTAAGAACTGTTACCTTGTCATTACATCTTCCAAGTTTCCTTCGACCAAGATTTCATCCTTGCCCAAAGAACTTAAGGTTTTATGTTGGCCAGTTAAGTTCTTCGAGTGGCACCGGGTATGGCATCTGAATTTAGTCATGGCGCTTTGTTCCAGCTCCTCCTGGTGCTAATATTCTGGCTTCTTCTTTGGTCTATAAAAGAAATATAAAAGGTTGGGTCTCTAGAAAGGTTCAAAGTTTGTCTGCTACACAAGGTTTTTGACAATAGGTCAGGAATTCATTGTAATGAAACTTACATACTGTCATTTAGGCTTCTGGCGTCCTAATTGTCTCTT